TCATGCTTAAATGTGTGACTACCAGGTTTCGCCAGCCGCTCTGACCACTCAGGAATTCTGTGTCGCCACTGTCAACACAAAGTTCCTGAGTAGTCAGGAGCCTTAACTCGACTAACTCCTGTAATAACTCAATCTATGATTAAAGTTACCAGTCCGTCCGAGTTTCTCTGGATTTATCCTAGTTTTGAAAACATCGGGAAGCATCTGAGCGGGTTTTTCGAAGTGGTCCGGATTTTGTATAATTTTTCATAACAACTGCGCAAACATTGTGATTGAACTCTCGACCGCCCCGCGCACTATCAATACCGCTAAAGTCATTATTGTTGTGTTCCAAAAGACCAAAATTGACTGCTGGTACTGAAAATCTATGCACGTTACGAAAACTATAATATTTTCATTGCTGGCAGTAAATTTGTAACACAGCCTATAAATCTAGTGACTTTACTCTCAGTCGTTCAACTGGCTTGGCGTCAATCGTCAATAGCAAACATAGACAATAATATACCTAGACTGATTGTTTACGGTTATTAGAAAAATGAAGGACGATGCCACTCCTTGAACGATCGATCTAGATCTAGGTTTTCATAGTCAGATCTTATATTCAAGATCATCTTAAATACGATCTTAAGAAGTCACGAACCAATCAGAAGCCAGTATTCATAATCGGATCTTATGTTTAAGACCGTCCAGAATATCAGTCAGAGAGTCGCATTAGCATCTTAAAACGGTATATTACTTAAGACGGTCTTGAAATAAGAATCAATGAACACCGGCCTAGATATATTTACTTCTATCATGGATATACTATTGTCTATGATAATGAGCAATTGAGCTGATATAGGCGTTGATTTTTGGCGCGAATAGAAGATTCTCAACCAGTCAGGAACTGACTGGTGAAAGGCGTACATTGTTTATGAGTTTATATATGTACAATAAATATTATAATTATACATATTTTTAATGTTTTTATTCCATTATATGCTTATAAATTTAATTTATTTTTATTTTCAGAACTAAAAATGCCTAAGCATAAATGCTCATTTAATGACAACTTGCAACGTAAATTTCCAATGATGCAAAAAGATAAACATTGGGAAGTTTATTGTACAATTTGCTTGACCAGTATTTCAATTGCAAATAAGAGTGTTAATGACATAAATGAGTATTTAAATATTTAAAAACAAAAAAAGAAATCAAATAAATACTTCAGATGTTGCTACATTTATGATTAAGTCTGGCCCTGATGAAGACATTATCCGAGCAGCTGAAGGCACGATGTCCTATCATACAGTATGTCATTATCCCAATTAGCAATGTTTTTTAAATGTTTGTTAAATATTTATTTCTTATTAATTTTACATTTTTCACGATTCGTTTTCAAAATTCATTAATTTAATGTTTATTTTACATTTATTTAATGTTTATTTTGAATTTATTTTTTATTTGAAAAAATATTTTTTAAACGTTTATTTAATATTTATTAAACATTTAAAAAAATGTTTATTTAACATTAAATATTCATTTGAAATAATAATTTGAAAAAACATTTTTTAAACGTTTATTTAATGTTAATTAAATGTTTATTTTACATTAATTATTCATTTGAAATAAAAATTTAAAGAAATATTTTTTAAATGTTTGTTTAACGTTTAGAAAATATTTATTTTACATTATTTATTTTAAAATGTGGTAATAAGAAATATTTATTTCATGTTTAACGTTTAGCAAATGTTTCACTCATTAATTATTTATTTGAAATAATGATTTAAGGAAATGGAAAAGGAATTCTTTAATGTCTATTAAATATTTTTTAAAAGTTTATATGACGTTTAATAAAAATTTTTTTTGTTATTTATTTATTTAAAATATGATTAAAAAAAATATTTATTTAATATTTATCTGACATTTATTATAAATATGAAAAAAATTATTTTATAAAGCTCAAATTAATAAAAAACAGTTCGGGATAATAAAATAATCACGAAAAAGAAGTTAACACAATATAATTGTTAAATGTACCATATATAGACAATAAGAATTGTGTGCATCGATAGTTACAAGTGGTATGACGGATAAGATATAAGACTCATAACTCTGAAATCCCAGGTTCAAAACCGGTAAGTAAAAAAGATTAAAATATAATTAAAAATTAGAATTAATAAAATTAATTGTCTAATGTTGTTTAGGCACTATCGATAAAAAAAATAAATTTAAAAAAATTCTACATTATTATTTTTTCTAACTTTGTTCAAATAATTTTGACATTAAAAAATTTTTTTATATTAAAAAAAAATATTTCATCAAACGTTAAATAAAGGTTTTTTAAACGTTAAAAAAATGTTTTCTTGAATGTTAAAATAAATGTTTTTTCAAATGTTAAAATAAATGTTTTTTTTAAAAAAAATGACTTAACTCATTTATTTTTAAAAACATTGTCTGCTGGTTGGAGCCTATCTTCGAAAATTGCAATGACAGCGCAGTTTTTACTGTGCATCAGTTCCGAAATTAGAAGATCGTCGTTTTCATTATTAATATTTATGTTATTTTGAATAATATAAATATGTAATATAATATAAAATATGTAATATAATAAAAAATAGTAATAATATTAATATAACAAGATAAT